CATGCTTATCACCCAAATTAATCAATATGGACACATCAGCAAAAAAAGAACTAGTTCAAACTGTTAAAAATGGGGCAATTGGAAAAGAATACCAACAGAAATGCATAGGCTTTGATCATCAAAAAGAATTTGAGGGGAAACACAATGCACAACCAAAGAAAAGCATTACTTGTCCAAAAATGTGGAGAACGCTTTCTAAATTCAACAGTCCACGGGCCAAGGTAAAGAATCCAAAATGAGAAAGCAGTGATTCAAAAAGCAGACCGCCCAACTCCTAGGCGGTCTGAAAGTCCTGGGCGATCAATCCCTAGGCGGTCAATCCCAGGGCGGCCGCCTAGGTGGTATGGAACTCGCCTAGGAGGCCGTCTTGGGCCTGCGCCCCGCCCAGGGGCGAAAAAAAAATTTGTGCGGCATTTTACGTCATTTGTGTTTGTTTTTAAGGCCCAAAAATTAGGGTTTTACGTTCATTTGAAACCCAAACCTTGTTTTGAGCCAAATTTAGAGAGAGAAAACCACCAAAAAACTAGATTGTGGTGAATTTTTAAAGATCGAAGGGTTACTCAACGTTAATCAAAATTGATCAAACATCACCCATTGGTATTATATTTACTTTTTGATGTTTTGCAAAGTTATTAGGGGGTTTTCTAGAATATTTTGAGTATTTAGAAACATTTTTGAGATGGAAGTTTGAAGATTGAGCAATCAAACTCAGAGTAAGTGATTTTTTTATTGCTTAAAAATTTGCATTATTTTTTAGATGTCTTCTTCGGGATCTAATAGGAGTGGTGATCCCGGTTGGAAATATGACTATAACCCAGATCCTAATGATACAAAAGGGGGCATAAACGGGTTCAAGAAACATCTTGCGGATATCAGAGGGAATGTTGCCCCATGTAAAAAGACTCATGATGCTGTTAAAGAGGAAATAAAAAATTTTATAAACTTGATGAAAATGAAAAAAAATGAGAGATTTGCCTCTATAACAGAGATTAGGTCTGGGCTTCGAGTCAATTTTGATGATGATGGTAGTGATGAGGAAAGGATTGGGGAGCGATGTCAAGAGGTTGAGCAATCCATTATTAGGGGAGTAAGAAGCCGCGGGTTAGAGGTCCTATGGATAGTTTCTTACCTCGGCCTGACCCTGAGATTGCAGGAGAGAGAAAACAAAAAAGCAAACCACCATTGAAAATAGAATCAAGAAGGAAGAGAGAGAGAGCAGCGTATTATTTGGCTACATAGTTTTATGAGGCAGACATTCCTTTCAATACCGCTCGCTTGAGCAACTTTGATGCCGCACTAGAGGCAATTGGCCAATTTGGCCCTGGGATGAAACCCCCAACCCCATATGAGCTTTCAGAGCCTGTTTTAAAAAAGGCAATGAGTGCCACGAAGGAAGCTGTAGAACTTAAGAAATATGCAAGGGCTCAATATGGGGTTTCTCTTATGACTGATGCTTGGAGTGATAGGAAGAGAAGAAGTCAAATGAATTTGCTTGTGAATTGTCCAGTAGGGACTGTTTTTTTGAGGTCTATTGATGCCTCTGATCATATCCATGATGCCTATTACATATTTCAAGTGATAGAGCAGGGAATCAAGGAGGTTGGGGAGCATCTTGTTATATAGGTTGTCACAGAAAATGTTGCTCCTAATGTTGCTGCATCTAATTTGTTGCGCATAGCTTATCCTAGAATCTTTTGGACACCAAGTGCAGCACCTTGTATAGACCTCATGCTTGAGGCTCTTGGCGGTTTAACCGAGATATCAGATGCAGTGAAGAAGGCCAAGTATGTTACGAATTTCATTTATAACCACCATATCACCCTCAGCTTGATGTGTACCTTTACAAAGAAGAAAGAGATTGTGAGGCCTGGGGTCACGAGATTTACGACCTGGTACTTATGCCTAGATAGCACACATTAAAGGAGAGTGCAGTTGAGGCAAATGTTTACCTCGGTTGAGTGGAGAGCATGCAAGTGATCTAAGGCTCAGGTTGGGAAGAAGGTGAGAGATTATACTTTCTAAGGCTTTTTGGCGAGGGTTGAAGGACGCTCTTAAGGTATTTTTTCCTCTTATCAAAGTCCTTCACATGATTGATAGTGACAAGCCTTCTATGGACTACATATATGATGCTATGAAGAAATGCAAAAGAGAGACAATCCAAAATTTCAATGATGTCCGCTACAAGCCTGTTTGGGAGATTATTGATGAGAAGTGGGATAAGCAGTTTCATCAGCCATTGCATGCAGCTAGTTATTTTTTGAACCCAGCTTTGTTTTATATTGACAAGGATATACAAAAAAATGATACAATTATGGATGGATTTAATAAGTGTGTAGAGGTGCTAGTCCCTGATCTTGAAATGCAGGATATTATATGCGCGGATGAGCTGATAAATTACAAGTGCTCATTAAAGTCTTTTGGGAGTCCAATGGCGACGAGGCAAAGGACCAAAATTAATCCAAGTATTAAATATTATTATATTAATAATATTCTTAAGTTCATCTTCATCAAGTTCAATTGTTCAAGTAATCAAGTATTTCTATTATTTATTTATGATTTTTTTTATTTCTTTGCGGGCCATTGGTAGAGCCAACATAGACGTAGTTCTCCAAATTTACAAAAGTCGGTCATTCGGATCTTAAACCTAACCACTTCTTCATCCGGATGTGAGCGCAATTGGAGTACTTTTGAAGGGGTAAGACCATAAGGGTAATTTATATAATTTTAAAAATAATACATGAACCATAGATATTAGATTTCAATTAGTTCACTTTCATTTTATTTTGTTAAGTTCATACAAAGAAAAGGAACAAACTTGAATCAAAGAAGTTCAATGACCTTGTCTATGTCAAGTACAATCGATTCTTGAAGGACAGATTTGCAAAGAGAGATAATAAAGACCCCATTAGATCAAAAATATGGACAATGATATGGAGTGGTTAGTTGATGATGATGAGTTCGAGGGGCAAGAAGGATTGACATGGGACATGGTCATAGATGCTTCAGGGACAACAGCTGACCCTCCTAGGGCCACTAGAGCTTCTACACAGAGAACAAGGGTGGAGGAAGAGGAGGAAGAAGAGTCAGATTCACAAGAGACGGAGGAAGACGAGTCGCAATATGTCGAGGAGGGTGATGACTTCGTCGACTCCGATGAATATGATGCCAATGCAACTGACCCAAGATTTTTTGATGACGAATGAATGTTGATTGTTGAATAATTATTAAACTTTGTTACTTTGAAGTTTGAACTTTGATTGAAGTATTGTGTATCAGTGTTTTAAAATGCGGCCGCATCGCCGCATATGCGGTCGCATCATGCGCAATGCGCTCGCATCTGCATCAGAAACAGGCGCATATACGCTTTTGACAGATGCGGCCGCATATGAGCCACATCAGGCCGAATCGTAGGCACATCCCGCATAGGCCACATCGCACCGCATCCCACTACTACAATGTCCGCCGAATTGTTTCTCTGCTTTGCCCCTCGAGGAGGGGCAAAATGGTCTTTTTGACCATCCAAATGTTAGGGAAACTGTTTGGGGGCCTTAAACGAAGATTTTCAGCCACTTTTGTGACTTTTTTTGCATCAAATCGAGGTAAAAAAAATTTAGGCGGAATTTGTTTTTCATCGAAATCTTTGAATTGGCGGTTGTTTGATACTTGGATGTTCATTGGATGCCTTGGATTGTTCATTTGAAGATGTTAGGGTGAATTTGGGATAAGAAATCGGCGGTTTCAGAGGTCGTAAAGAAATCGAGCAGTACTTCACAGAGTCGGTAAGTTTTTTTTCCTTTTTGTACAATATTACTATTATACATATTTTTTGAGTAAAGTCTTCTTCTCAATCTTCTAGTAATAAGGATCCGGCTTGGAAATATGCTAAACTAAAAAATCCCAAAGATAGAAAATGTGTGATATGCTTGCTCTGTGGAAATACTCATATGCGTGGATAACTGGATACAGAATCTCCGACAGCTAATAGTTTTGAAGTTAATCATTAAACTAAAATACCTACTATCACATATACCACCTTCATATTTTTTTTATGCATTAACTTATTTTTAAAAAAAAATTAGAATTTTTTTACATTTATTGACCGCATCATCGCGATGCACACGCATCCGCGCCGCATCGGTCCCCCACCGCATCAAGGCCGCATCTCGCATTTTAAAACAGTGTTGTGTATTGAACATTTGAACTATTGAAGATTCTTTTGAGTCTTCAAGTATTACTTTCATAATTTTATAATTTGGTTGGTTGGAATATTTTAAGTTTTAATTGGATATGGATTATGGAGCATGCACCGACTTATGGATTATGGTTATGCTTATGGAATGTGTGTTAAATGCTAATATGTAATATAATTTGAATATAACTGACAGTCAGATACTCAAATAACTGCATAATCCTTATTTGGATTCAACTGGGCCGCCCAGGTTCTGGGCTCCCGCCTAGGCGCTGGGCGGCGTGGACCCCCCAATCCACCTAGGACTCGCCTGGCGCTTTTTGAAATACTGTGAGAGAGAGAGAGAGAGGAGTTACATTTCTACGGTGGCATATCATCATTAACAATGCACATAACAGCCTCTTGTACCAACCGGGAGTGGCGACTACATAATAATTTACTAACAGAAATGTAAAGCTAGAGCAAGCTAAAAAAGGGTTCCTGGAACATATTAATAAGATTAATTTTTACCTTTTTGTATTCATGATATTTTATACCAAATGAATAAAATAGATTGACACCTGAAATATACAGTTCGGGTCCAACACCATAGCACCAATACATACAAAGAAGAGTCAAATCCTTAAAACTTACTGCTAGAATGACTTAGTTAAACCATATTTAAGTTCCGAAGTAATGAAGACAAATGGTAGACATATGCTTCAAATCCTAGCACCATACATCGATAATCCAATAGACTGAAAGATACAAAGATTAGTTTTCAGTATTTCCCCAAAAATATTTGTATTGCATATATTTTATGTAAGCTGACCTCAAGTAGTAGGCTTTATAAGCATTTGGACCTTCCTTGAAAAGTACTGACAACCCATTGCGAATTAAGAAAGTCCGCAACTGCAATTTCACAACACAAACGCAATCACATTTGACTTTAGTTTAGTCTACATTGTCACACAAGATAATGGATTAAGAATTTCATTACATCAGTTACAAGACATATGGTACAAACAATTAGATCTCATCAAAGAAAATGATACATTTACATGCTATCAAAGTAAACTTCTGATCTATTAAAAATTAAAATTCCAACACATTCCTTCAAAACTGGTTCCCATGTCTAGTAGCTACATGTACCTTATATGTAAGGAATTTCAGTTTAATCATTAGATTTGCATCTTCATCAGCTAAACCATCAGTCCCAGATGCATTTGTTCCTGTTCTTTCATTTGTTTCTTTGAATAACAACCCACTATAGTTCACTGAATCAGCCGCAGATTCGTTGCCGACTTTGAATAAATTGACGTCAACAAAAAAACCTGTAAAAGCCATGAGTACGGAAAGTCCATAAAGAACCATGAAAAAACAATGGATACCAAAAACTTGAGGAAGAAAAACAGATTTCTTCAACAATAAAAATTGAGATCACATTATCATTATAATCAGTTTTGGGCATGTTACTGCATAGTATACCTGAGAATGCAGCAACCAAATTGAATCGTACAGATGTGAAAGACCAGTGAGGACAAAAGCACTTATCCAAAGTCCTTCTTGATCAACAATGTGTACGCCAAGTCAGTGGAACATCCACAAGTCCATTGTAAGAAGTGAAGATATGGGATTATATGCTAGATCTGTGTGGGATGAAATGGGTCATGCCATGATCTCGGGAAGATTTTTGCAAAAGGTGATCTTCATTGTGTGTCAAGCCTAAGGGGAAGGTGATGGAAGCTTTGTAGTTTATCAATTTGGGAGGACTGCGGAAGGAGAATAAAAGATGTACTTTTCAGGAAACGGGTGTTCAGGTCTCGATTCTCAAGGAGCAGATCAGTGGCATATCTCTATACTCAGCCAACCACTAGATGTACTTAGATTACTTTAATTTAATTTTTCTGAAAATTTATTTTCTAAGGAGCCAGGCCGAGCCAGAATGAGCCATGATTTAAGCCCTAGAGCTGACCCACAAGGATTGGACCCAGGTTGTTCTGCCTATGATGAACCCAAGACTGGTCCAACCAAGCTTTTATTTTTGACTTACAAATCAAGTATGAAAGATCACAATGGTGCAAGACAAACAACCTTTAGCCCAATGTTGCACTGTCTGTTCCCTCAATCTCTTTCTAGTGACTAAGATGTTCACCTCTTGCGCTATGATAGTATAAAGAAAGCCCCAGAATTGTTGGGGTTTTGTGGCCTTTAAAGGCCGTGAGAGCATATAAATATAAATTGTAATGGATTACACACTTAAGTGAAAGTATGTGTATCAGCTGGCTGTGGTAGTGTTAGATCGTTTATAGTCCTAGTCATCGCCAAAACCATTACCCTTGGGCATATGGCACTACCAAGAAGGCTTTCAGGGGGGTCATCCCTTGTAAGGGTCAGATAAATGCCCAGATATGGTTTGTGGGCAAAGAGAACTATGTGGTCTTCTATGTGCAGATGCAGGCCTGTACGCGCAAGGGCTCAATCCTCAATAAACTTCCGCACGACATGTACACATGATAGCAGCGTTACTGGGGGAGCAACCCTGAAAAAGTATATGTCTACATATGGATATAGAGAGCCCTCATTGCACTATGTGTGAATGACTTGCTCTTACAAGCCTGTCTATAATCCACATTCTGCAATTATGGTTCCACTATTTATGGGCAAACTTTGACAACCCAATCATAAGTCTCTACATAAGACTGTATGTCATGGGTCTTGTTGAGTTGGTCTGAGAAGATAATCAAGGATCACGATTACCAGATCGGGTAAAGTGCCCTGACAATCACTTATTTTGACCTATTGGTTCCAATCCACTTCTAGATGTTTTGTTTTCAGTGTAAATAACTGTTTTTTGTAAATTTTAGAAATTTTATAGAATTTCTAAAATTTTAAAATTTCTAAAATTAATTTCAGCAATAAAAAGCCCTTCAAGGGTGTTTCTAAAATTCCAATAGTGTGAAGGGGCAAGTGTGGGGCCCTTGGTTTGAGCCCCACATGTGTGCCACACCACATGGGTGGGGCATGAAACCCATGAACTCACACATGGAGGTGGAAAGCCCCCCTCCTTTTCTTATTTTAGTTTTGCTTTAATTAAATAAAAGGTGTCTTTTAAGCTAGCTACGGAAATCTTAAAAAAAAAATAAAAAAAAATAAAGATTTCTCATTTTGTGGGAGTTAGTTTTGAAAATATTTTTACCATATCATTTATCTTTTGAATTGCTACAAACTTGATAGATATGGGAGTTCTATAAGACTAGGTTTAGATTGATCTTAGCCTAGTTGACTAGAAGAGGATATATGTCAAAAATTTAAGGGTAAGGTTCATACAATTCCTCCCTAAATCTTGATGGTTGATTTATGGGATAGATAGCTTAGATTTAATTCTCTCTCACTTCATAGATTTTCTAAAATGCTATTAGTCATTATGAGTCACAATTTTGGATAGCCATACCAAAGGCCCTTGAGGCCTATATAAGGAGGGACATTCCCCCCCGTCCTCCATTCTATGCACATTACTTTCTAGCCCTTCTCTCTTATTTCTCTCTCCATGCACACTCTCTCTCTTGTTCTCCACTCTCTAATTGGCATGTCACCCTCATAAGACTCCAGGGGTGGGCCACCACCCTACGTGATTGAGAGATAAGGGGCATGCCCAGCCCTAGATTACATCAAGGACAGATGCCCAGCGAACGCCTAGCGCCTAAGCGGCCACCTAGGCGGTCCTGAAGGCCTGGCAGCATCACCAGGGCCTAGGCGGCCAAATTGGGTCGCAGTCCCTGGGCGGCCACCTAGGCGATACGAAACCAGCCTAAACAAGCGCCCAGTGCCCAGCCCTGAGCGGCCACCCTGGGCCTGCGTCCCGCCTAGGGGGGGAAATTTTTTATTTTTTCCATTGTATTGTTTTTTTTAAAATAGAAAGGGTTTGAAGGATGGGTTTTAGGTTCATTTCAAACCTAAACCCACAAGAACTCATTTTAGAAAGCAAGAAACCTCAAGAAAACCAAATTTTGTGACTTTCATTGGATCAAAATGTTTCTCAAAGTTATGAAAAACGGATCTAAACATCACCCAAGTATATTTGATTTAGTTTTGGAGTTTTATAATCCTATTAGATGGTGTTTTTATTATTTTAGCACCAAAAAACATTTCAGAGATGGGAGTTTGGAGTTCGAGCAATCAAAGTAAGTGCAAAAATTTATTTTTTAGATTGCTTGTTTTATTTTGAGATCTCTTCTTCAGGATCTAGTCAAAGTGGAGTTCCGGGTTGGAACTATAGTGATAACCTAAATCCAAATGACAAAAATTGCATTAAATGTAATTTTTGTGAAAAAGATGCGAAAGGGGGCATAAACCAGTTGAAGAAACATCTTGGAGGTATTAAGGGGGATGTTGCCCCTTGTAAAAATGTTCGTAAAGCTATCAGAGAGGAGATTAAGCAATATATGAATTCTGTAAAACAAAAACAAGAAGAAAATCCTTGTCATTTGAATAAGTCTATTTCTGGTACTTCTAGAATAAAATATGGATTATGGTCATATGGATTATCAAAATTCTCTTCTAGACTTCTATCTTTTTTTTTTTAGCTGGGATTATGGCCATACCCTCAGTCACACCAAGAGTCCCTCTATCAAGGGCCAAAACCTAGGCCGCCCAGGTTCTGGGCACCCGCCTAGGAGCTGGCCGGCCTGGACACCCATGGCCGCCTGGGTGCCGCCTAGCGCTTTTTGAAACACTAGAGGTGCCAGACAATGGCATGTCCTAAAGGTTCATAAATTGGTCCAAAAAACCCTAATTGTGTTATGCTCTCATAAAAATTATAGTTCGTGAGGTAGGGGTACAGGGTGTACTAAGTTTTATGTGGGTGACCCTAGGTAAATTCAAATAAGTACCAACTATTCGCTTTTATTTCCATCATTGCTTGTTTGATTGAGTTTCCATGAACATGATTTGTACTAAAATTGTTAGTGGAAGCTTATTTTTCATTTCTAGATTGTGTCTATTCCTTTTGGTAGTAAAAGTAAAAATCCTAAATTGTATTTATGGTTTTATTTTTTGTATATGGGTGCTACAACTATATAGCGGATAGTAGAACACCAAACGGTTTACAACAGAATCCCAATGGATAGCAAACAACACCTAAAAAGCATTTGCATTTTCATAGATTTTCTTAAGCTTGTAGAATACTTTGATAGGATGAAATAGAGCCTATTGGAGTCAAACCCTAGCCAAAGGTCCACGACGTGCTCCTTGGAAGAAGATGGCAGAGCTCCTTATAAACATTGTGAGAGTAACCTATTCACCGTTCTAAGGGGGAGCTTTCCACCATGAAGCATGCCGCGTGTTGAGGGAACCTTCTTCCCTCAGCAGAGAAAGCTAGTAGATTCGAAGGTGTGAAGGTTGAAGGACAGTGTGTGTAGGGAAAGATAAGGGTGGGCAGAAGAAATAAAGGGATGGAGAAAGAGAAGAAGGGGTAGAGGGAAATAGGAAGGGGAAAGAGAAAGGTGAAGACAAGAAGCGTGGTAGGCTACCTTTTATGGAAGAAAATGGTAAAGGGTTAAAACAGGTGAAGCTAAAAAGAAGAAAGAGAAAAGAGGAGAGAGAGGAGAGATAAAGGGATAGCACTGCAAAAGAGAGTGGGGGAGAGGCCAACGAGGGAAAAGGCTTAAAAATCCCTCCATATGTAATTTTCTTTTCCTTTTTCTTTTTTTTTTTCCATTGCCACTCTCACTTTATGGTTTTTTCTTTCCCCTTTTTTTCCTTTTTTTTTCTCCATATATTTTTTCTCTCCTTTTTTTTTTTGCTTTTCTTCTTTTTTCCATCCCCTGAATAGTAAAGGTATAATTGTAGAGGGACAAGAGCAATGAAAGGAGAGAAGAGTACTAGATTTCAAGCAGTACAGCGAAGAAATAAGAGTAAGAAATTAGACATTGGTGTGATAAGAGGAGGGGCAAAGAGATTAGGGAGTAGAGAAAGAAAGGAGAGAGAGACTAGAAGTAAGTGAATAGAAAGGAAAGCATAGAGAAGGGCGTAAAGCAAAAAGAAGAAAATGAGAGATTGGGGAGAGGAGGGAAGAAAAGAGAGAGAGTTTAGAGGTTGGTGAGTTGAGAGGAGGAGAGCAGAGAGGTAGAGGTTAGAGAGTAGAGTAGAGAGAAGAGAGAGGGGGATAAGTTGTAGGGGTGATGTGAAGTGTACCTAGTTTGAGAGACTAAGGAGATCATTCCTCTCTCATCAGAGCCAAAGCCTGTGTACAAAACTCCATCTAGGGGGCAGGGAGGAGAAGAAGATAATATTTTGAAGAGAAAGATAGCCGGAAGGATTTTTCCTTAATGGATCCCCGAAAGGATTTTTCCTTAATGGATCCCTGGAAGGATTTTTCCTTAATGGATCCCCAGAAAAAATTTTCCAGGCCCAAAGAGGGCTTAGACAGGGGGACCATTGTCACCATTCTTATTCACACTCATAGGAACTCTTCACCCAAACAATCTCAAGACTTTATGACAGAAGCCTCCTTTCGGGTTTTCGAACTTGTCCCTCGAGTCCAACTATTTTGCTTCTTCTTTATGCAGACGACACCCTTGTCTTCTGTTATGCTAACCCTACCCAAGTTGATTGCTTTTGGCGGTTCTTGCAAACCTTTGAACTTCTCACAGAGATGAAAGCAAATTTAAAAAAGACAAAAATGATAGGGATCCGCGTTGGCAACGCCAACCTGCTCAGTTTAGCTCTTCAGCTGGGTTGTGCCACTGAATTGTTACCTTCTTCATACCTAGGGCTGCCTCTGTGCATAAGAAAACCCAGCAAAAACCACTGGGCTAATCTGATCGAAAGGTTCACTTAGAAGTTCGCCTCTTAGAAGGGTAGGTTCCTCTCGTTTGGAGGTAGAATCACCTTGATTCAAGCTACCCTTGCCAGTATCCCAATTTACTACATGTCTTTGTTTCAAATCCCCATCTCGGTCATCCTCCGCCAAGAAAAGCTTATCAAGGATTTCTTATGGTCAGGAATGGAGGGAACCAACAAACTTCATCTAGTCACCTGGGATATTGTCTCCTCCCCCAAGAAATTTGGGGGCCTGGGTATCAAAAACCTTAGGACCATTTTTTTTTTTTTTTGCCAGGAGTTTCTCTTGGAATTACCTTGGACCTCTTTATCTTATAGTAATACAAAAGTTAACAGTTATAAAAAAAAAAAAAAAACCTTAGGACCATGAATCTTGCCCTCCTTGGCAAATAGTGGTAGAAATTTTCCTCCCCACATCTTCTCCGTTGGAAACAGGTTATTCAGGTGAAATATGGTATCATTTGTGGAAAGTGTCTCCCTAACCCCCCAACCCATAGATCCTCTGGAGCGTGGAAATGCGTCTCCTACACCAGGAATGATTTCCTCAATCGGATCAGATTTAGACTACGTAATGGTTCTCGTATTCTGGTCTGATCTTTGGATATGACTCTCTCCTCTATATATTATTTTCCATTCTCTCTTCCTTGTTGCAAGAGACCAAAGAGCCTTGATAGCTGATTATGTAGTGCTCAATGGCTCCAACTTGGCCTGTACTTCAATTTCCAGGCGTAATTTGACGAACCAAGAATCTCCTTCCCTTTTACCTCTTCTCCAATTGTTAGACCCCATTTTCTCAACCCTTCGAGATATTTCTCTGTCTCCTCATTCTATTCATCCCTCCTCCCTTTGCAGAACCCCAAGCCTCTCCTCAATTCATCTTTGGCTCTTCCAATCCCCCACAAAGTCCAGGCTTTTGTGCGGGCCCTCCTCCATGGTAGAACCCTCACACTTGATCAACTCTAGAGGAGAGGGTTTTCTCTCCCAAACCGTTGCATTCTCTGCTTTCAGGAAGAGGAAATTGTTCCTCATCACTTTACCCAATGTGAAGTTTTCCTCAATCTGTGGTCCTCAATCCTTAAACTTTTCGGGTTAAAGTGGGTTACCCCCCAAAATTGAACAATCTCTTTGAGACCCCCACCCCCCTTTCTCCTTTCTCAAATTTTGGTAGAAAACTCTGGTACCTCTCTATAGCGGCACTGCTTTGGAGCTTATGACTTGAGAGAAATTCGCACAGTTTTAGAGGAATTTTAAAATCCACTGAATCAGTCTTAGAGTCTATTACTACCCTCATCTTTCTTTGGGCCAAAAATATTCCCATTTTAGGCTTCCAATCCAACATTTCCTTAATAATTGGGCTTGTCTCCTACATTTATTCACCCAGACAGTTAAAACTAGACCCAGTTGGACCCCCCTCCCTTGGGCTTCCTTAAGCTTAATACTGATGGGTCTTCACTAGGCAACCCAGGACCCTCGAGAATTGGAGGCACTCTATCAGACAATGCTTCTACTGTTTTTTCTTTCTCAGCGTACATTGGGGTCCACGACTGTACCTTTGCTGAGGCAATGGCACTGCAAGAAGGCCTCAAAAGGGTGGCCCACATGGGAACCAATGCTCAAGGTTTAATGGTAGAAGTTGATTCCAGCAATACCCTCCTTGGGCCACCCACCAACAGCAACCGCCTTGAAGGTTATCTTCAATCTTTCAGCAAATATTTTTCCTATGCAGCTCCCTCCCCCAGCTCACCCTCAAGCAACGCTGAGGCAGATAGGTTGGCAAAAGAAGGAGCTTCTCTAGGCGCAGGAGCTCAGCCTACTAACTCCCTAAATTAACATGAACAACTAACCAAAGTTCGGCTACAAGATATATGTTGTGCCGTGTGTACATTTATGATGCAGCACAAAATGCCTTCTATTTTCGCTAGTAAAATTTAAGATTGTGTTTTCCGGATTTTCAGGGCTGACTTATAGGGTTTAAAGTTGTTTATGAATTTTAGTTTCTTTTTTTTCTTTGAAGTTTTTTTAGTCCTTGACGAGCCTTTTGGCAATGTAGTTAAAAAGGCCATTCAGACTTACTTTTTTAACATCATTACACTTTTTTGTTTAATTAGGAAATCTATTTCAATTAGAATAGGATTTCTTCGGTTTTACGTAAGGTCTTTACAATAAATAGGAGTTGCAATCGAGTTTTTCCTTTCATAGTTGAATATTATTTGTTTAAACTAGAGAGCTAAGAAGCTTGGCTTGTGAGCTTCCACTGTTATTTTCAATCAAATTTTTAGTTCTTTGATTTCATTCTACAATTTTGACTTTACATTGGTATAACAGCAGGCCCATTTCAAAAGCTCCCAACGATCGCTACAAGTTTGCCTGATCATTAGTAGAGGAGGTCATGTTTGTGGTTGTGGATTCGTGGTAGCGACGACGTTACATGGGAGGAATTCAATGATCTGAAAGAATTGAGGAAATGACTTGTGAAATATGTCGAAGAAGTTTGAATCGAAGGAGGTTCGAGCATCTAATGCACAAGGTGCGTCCAATAAGCTCCGATCGATGTTCAGTAACCAATAAGTCAGATATGAATAAGCTCCGATCGATGTTCAGTAACCAATAAGTCAGATACGAAAAAGCTCGAATCGATGTTCAGCAACCAATAAGTCAGATGTGAATCCAGTGGATTTGACTCCACAGGAGACAAATATCTCCGTAACCATGGAAAAAATGAAACTTCGCATCATAACCAAGGAAGGGACAACGGTCCTTCTCATAATGAGTGACTACCTAAAGCCGTCTTTGATGAGGAAAAAGGGGATCCAATCACAGCTCAGAGCCACACGAGAAAACTTTGCCTACAGATATGTATTCTTAATTATCAGCCTAAATCACCTTCTATATCCCATAGTTGGTTTGATCTATGACGAAAAATGAGATTTTGTGCGTGATCCAATTGTTTATGAAGAACCTTTTGAAGTTCAAGAATTGGACCCTTTTATTGGTAATAGATTTTGAAACGAATGAAGAAAACCTTGACGGCAAGGTGAAAAAGGGAACCCTAGGATCTCCATTTACTGAGGAAAAAATGGGCAAAACCACAAGGTTTAATGAAGAAGGCGCATGTTTGTTTGTCCTTGAGTTGAACTCAAGCAATTTTAGCGGATTTAAGTTGGTGAAATTAGGCAAATCCAGCAAGTTTATGCTGCTGAACTGAGCATATAAACCACAATTACTCCACGAGATGTTCTCAAATCCCAGTTTTGATGCACAATACCTACATATTTATTGGGCTAATAACCCACAGGTCCCGAGAATCAAGGAAAAAATTTCAGGTTAAAGGAGATAGTTATTTTAATACAGAATTCATCATAACCTACTTCAAAACTTGAGGACACTATGCAACTAATGGAGTCAGATGCTAAATAAGATGCCTCTTATTTTTGAAATTTTTCTTTCAATTTTTTAAGGATTTTTTGGATTTTAAGTTAACATTTATTTAAAAAAAAAAAAAGATTGTTTTGGATTTTTAGGGGTTTAATTTTAGGGTTTTTAAGTTGTTATAGGGATTTTAGAATTTCTTAGATTTTGTTTACTGGATTTTATGGGCTCTCTATGAAGTAGCTAGAGTCTTTACAGAATCACCTATTTTATCAGAGGGTAAAAATATATGTACGAAGTTTTTCAACTTAGGACTCAAGAATCACGATTTCTTGGGTTTTAAGTGACGTCTTTTATTATAAATAGTGGTTGTATTAGGGCTTTACATTTAGAGTTGAATGCTATTGTTTTGAGAGTACTAGTTAAACCGGAGTGCTAAGAGCCTTGGATTGACACTTCCACCATTATCTTCAATAAAATTTTCAGTTCCTTGATTTCCTTCTATAAATTCTCCACTACATTATTTGACTTCTAGCAACATTCGATGTTTTGCAAGTGGAATTAAAAATAACATTTTAGTTTTCATTTCTCACTAAAAAGTAACATTTTTTGTGCGTGCCAACACATGAGTCAACACCTAAACATGGTGTTAACGTGGCTCTCAAAAAAAGCCACTAAAACACAAACTCAGCATCACCTAATATGCCACAACAACAATGCCAAAACATAGTTTGGGACCTTTCAGATGAGCTATCAATATGCCAACAAATATCACTGAATCTGTAGTTATGAAACTCCTACTCTCAAGAACAAGGCAAACTTGCAAAAGAATATATGTTGATAAATGATATGTCACTTATGGGTCAAGGATCATTATGCCAGAAACTAACCAATGACAGCCCTCACAGAATATTAAATAGAAACAATAAAAATAAACATAACAGAAGCTCAGAGAGAAATGAAAAAAGCATCAAAATCCTCCAAAGCTACAGTAACAGTATATATAATAAAAATTAATTTTAAGTTGAAAATGATGAATAACATCAAAGTCCACGAAAGCTACCTCTGTATAAAGGCCACAGTCCTGGATTATTCCTGAAATGAAGGAAACAAGTCATTCTTCAAAACACATATTGGATCAAGATAACAAGATCAATTATCCTACTCAATTCTTTCAAGCTCAGGACTCGCCTGACTAGATACTGTTACAAACCCAACAAGGCTCTTTATCTTGAGACTTGCCTCAGTCAATCAATTTTTTCCCAATTTTCCAATAGACTTGGCCGAGTCTTTCTTAAGATTCGCCCCAGTTGAGTCCACATGATTCAGATCGGGACTTAGCCGAATCCCAAGCTGTGTTAATGGTTTAAAACACTAATCCTATTATACACGCAGTATTGTATCAAGGGGCGTAATTAACCTCATCTCTTTTTGATAACGCCGAAATCCAGAATCACTATGCACATGGATGACCATCTTAAAAGTAGCATTCTCTTTCGGTGATGTGACAGTCTTGTGAAAGTTACGGTAACACTTGAAAGCAGCTGGGAAATGCTTCTGTCTCATCAAACGGATCATTTCCTGACCAAACATATTGGCAAAAACATTACACGTCTACTATTTCAATGTAACACGAAATAGATTATGGGACCAATATCTGGGTCAATAACAGCATAAGTTACTGACAAAAATGCTTATGAGCCTTGTTACAAATAACACCTAAAAGAAAGGACGGAAAAAAAAAAAAGGAAGTATATATCCAATTATGTTACAAAACAATACATAATTAACTCTCATTTTCTATCGGGGCTTTTTAGAGAAAAAGTATTTCAGTTAATTTTTTGAAGAGAAATGAAATCTAGCGTTTTACATTATGAGAATAGACATCACCTCACCCAAGTATACCGGAGGGCCAATTGCCCATATTGCCCCTCATCAAAAACCACCAGTTTTGAATTTAACAAACGAATACAAAAAAGTGACAGAATGAACAACCAGCTTTTTCATTCTACCATCCCAAATGGGGGCCAATGATGTTGGTACCAGATTTGGCCAGCCTCTCACGCTCTCTAGAATCTTGTACCTATTCCATTTCCTATTTTAATTGCATGTTCTTTTTCCCTTTCTCTTTCTTCTTTCCTTTTTCTGGTTTCCCTTTATCTAAGCTTGATTACCCTCTTTCCATCAATGGATGACTCATTCAATTCCCAAAAACACAAATGAGAAAGAACCCAAACCCCCCCGCCCCACACACACACACACACACACAAAACAAAAAAGAAAAAGAAAACAAAAAAAACAAAGGAAAAGGAACAAAGATAGAACATTAAATGGAATAATTCTCCAGTTTTCCACTATTGGTTCACACCAACAATCTTATGAGGTTGCTTTCTGTGAGAGAAATAGAAATGCTGATTTCACGATGTTCCCTAATTTTTGCGAAAAAGCTTTCCCAAAGAATCAATCTCTCTCTTGAACCAGAGATTAGGCCACCCAAGGTTCCGGAAAGCCCCCTTGAAACCTCTGGTTTATTGCCACCAATCTCTATTGGAAACCACCCAAACCAAAAAACCCATCTCTATGAGAGGACTCAGCACATCTTTGTGATGGTGTCTCGTCTTTATGACTTGACTATGCTGCGATTTGTTGCCTTTCAAGGCCGTAAGAATGTTTTATAATGGATTATACGCTTCAGTGGAAGTGTGTATTGTTTGACTGAGCAAGGGTTAGGCGGTATGTGGCCTTGGTCATATACAAAACCCTTACCCCTGGGCATGTAGCACTACCCAATGTTCAAAAAAACCGGATTCGGGCGCCAAGGCAGTTTGGGTGCCTGGCGGCCTATGCGGGAACCCAGGGACAGGGTGCCCTCACCAAAATAGACCCCCCCCCCCACGCCCCACCCCAAACATAAAAAACAAGGGAGTTCTTAAATGAATAACTGAATACATAAGGCATTTTATGACTTTAGTTTCACTTTCACATTAAGACTTAACCCATTAAGATATTGCATAATCAATTATTTATCAAATAAGCTAAAAAAAAAATAAAAATAGAATACAAAATAAGACACATTGTGCAAAGAAAATGATATATGCTCAATTTCATCGTCCAAGTGAGAAAAAAATCAATAAATCATCAAAAAAAACGATCTTTTAACTACAAACATGTAAATATATCATAAAAGAAAAAACACATGATTCTTAACATAATATGTTGTAGAAAAATAAAATCAAAACCCTCTTTCAAATATGATAATACTTTAAAAATATCAAAATCAAATCGATGTAGAAGCAAACCTCATCTGTTGAGTCACAAAACTTCCCAAAATCAACTACTAGAAACTCCATATCCACCCACAAACTATTGCCTCGTTTTGGGAAGAAATCGAAAAAATAAAAAATTTATTGATCTTTCGATAAATCACAAAAAAATTCGTTTTGAAGGGGTTCTTCTCACCCTAAAGGCCACGGATTTTCTATTGGGGTTTAGAATATCTCCTAAAACCTTTTCCCCCCTTTTTAGGGGGAAAAATATTACATTTTTTACGCTCACCGAGGGTTTTTTTCTGCCCGCCCATAAGTTGTCACGGGGCGGCGCCTTGACCGCCTAGGCGGGCGCCCAGAAGCAAAACGCATAATGTCCCCACCCAAACTGCGCCTAGGCGTTTTTAAAACTTTTTCACCTAAGCGGTTGGGCAGCCGAATTTCGAACATTGGCACTACCGAAAAGGGTTTATAATGGATCATCCCTTGTTGAGGTCGAAGAGATGCCTAGGGATGGTATGTACGCCAAGAGAGTTATGCAGTTTTCTATGTACAGATGTAAGCATGTGAGAGCAAGGGCATCCTCAACAAACTTCTACATAGCATATACACATAACAGCCGCATTTCGAAGAAGCATCCCTATAGAGGGACACGTGTACCTGTGCATGGAGAGAGTCCCCCTTGCATTGTAGTGACATGTGCTTGACTTGCTCTTAAAGGGGGGGTGATGTAATCCACATTCTGGGATTGTGCTTCCACTATTTATCGGTCCGCTTTGAGGAGTCAATCTTGAGCCCCTGCATGAGACCATGGGTTACGGATCTCGTTGGGTCGGTTTAAGAAGACAATTGTAGATCATGGTCACTGCGTCGAGTTGAGTCCCCTTATACTAACTTGGTTTTTGACCCATTGGTACCGATCTACTTTTAGATATTTTATTTTTTTTAACAAGCTTCTAGACATTTTATTTTAGTATTAGAAATGTAGAGATTTTATTTTAGTATTAGACATGTTTCTATGTATTTTGGAAATTTTTGAGATTTCTAAAAATTTATTTCCTGCTGTAAATTCCTTTAAAAGGGTATTTACGATATATTGTTTATAAGGAAAGGTACATGTGGGGCCCTTGGATCCAGTGCCACATGTATGCCACCCTCACATGGGCGGGGGCCATGGGGCCACATGTCACCCACAGACGGTAGCACACCCCACTCGTTGTTCTTTAAAAATTTGTTTTAAATTAAGGATGCTTTTAAGCTAGAAAAGTTAAATCTTTTAAAAGGAAGGTTCTGTTCCCATTTTTTGTGAGAGTTAGTTTTGACCAAAATTACATTATCTTGACTTCCTATAATTTTGAAAGCATATTAGGAAAATCTAGAAGGTTCTTGATTGGTTTAATCCTATTCGGACTAGAAGTGGATATGGGTCAAATATTTAGGGGATCATGTTCCTAATATTCCTCGCTAAATCAAGATGATTGTTTTAAGGTTTGGATAGTTCAGATTTATTTCTCTCACCTCACAGATTTCCTAAGTTCCTAATGATCAAGTTTGTCATTGCATAGGCATACCCAAGGGGGGGCTTATGACCTATAAAAGGAGGCATACCGCCTTCTAATTTTCTAAACAATTAGGCCTATCTCTCCTATCTCTCTCTCCTCCACGCCGCAAATAAATTTCTCTTTCTCATTTAAAATTCCTATCTCTCTCCTTTCTCTCTCCCTCCATCCTAATGGCACATCACCATAAAATAAAATAAGAGGTGGCGTGCCAAACCCTAATTTAGGGTTTTATTGTTTGGAGAGAGTTATCCCAGCCTAAGAAGAGTTTCACTCTTCATGCTATGCCCTAATTTGATCCTAATGGGTTCCTACAAACCTAGTTGTGCTTTCATGCTCTCTAAAACCCTAATTTATCATGTACAGCCCATGTCCCATCTCTGAAATTCCAGCAACATCAATAGGATAAAAAGTGCGCCATTAGTCGGGAAATGGCGTGTGGAGTGTACCAAGTCCTATTGGGGTAATCCAAGGAACAATCACGTAAGTCTTCCCATCTGTTTACTTTTATTTTTCAGTTATATCTCTAGTCTTACTGTGATTTTTCAGGAATATATTTTGTACTTAAATTGATATTGAAAGAATGGATTTTATTCCTAGGTTGTGTTTATTTGCTTTGGCAGGAAAAGGAAAGGTCCTAAGTTGTATTTAAGTTTTTATTTTCTATTTACAGCAGTGTATTGTGGCACTTGTAAGTTGTATTCAGTTTCATTAATAAAAAAAGGAATTTCTCGATTTTATTATCTTGAATTCCACACAGCCACACCTTTCAGACTTGGTCTTTGTGACTGGAAACTTAAATTTGGGGAGGCCACCTATTATAGGTGGCTAATTGTGGTCCCTCTAAGCGTTGGCTAGTTCGATAGGCTAATCATGAGCCCCTTTCATGAAAGATAAGAGCGTCAATGATCTAGTGGGCTAGTCTAAGACCTAAGTTGTGGTCGTAGGGTAGTCATGGAGCGCATAGTTGATGATGTTTTTTAATACTAAGCAAACTCTTTCGATGATCTTTCTTACAGCTTTTCAATTCAAGGAAAATAAGAATGGTTTTAGTTTTTCTATTGAACCATCTTAACTTTGTGTAGTGGATTTTGACTTTAGAACAATGGTGGTTTTGGAATTAAAATATTGTTCCAAAACAAGGCCGATCTTGGAATAATATCAATGTTCAAGAAAGGGGAACTGAACGCCTAGGCAACTGCCCAATGTTCTGGGCAGGCACTACAGAAAATAGAAAAGGAGGTGGAGGAGGAGAAAAAGGAGGAGGGTGGGGTTGGGGTTGGGGGCTGTTTAAGACATGATTTTGCAATAAAAATTTTGGACGTAGCTATACGAGTAATATTGTCTAACATAGACATAAATAGCTAACATGGCCATAAATATAGCCAAGACATAACTATAAATAAATTGTAATCACAAAACATAGCAAACTGAAAAAAAAAAAAAACACCACTCATAAAGCATAACATAACACAATGTAAAACCAACAAACAAAAAAATAGCAAACTAAAAAAAAAAAACTCATATCATCATAAATGTGAAGCCAAACTTCAAAAAACAAACACATGAAATGAAAAAAAAAAGCACAACACAAGCTCAGACTAAATACAAAGCCTAAACATAAACAAACTACAAATTCGGCTGCAATCCTTAAAAAATTTGTTCTTGAACGAAAAAAAATGCTTTTTTGACCAAATAGGGTTGTTTAGGGTTTTGGAGGCCTAAAAAACACCCCAAATGCAATTTGGCCAATTTTCGAGGGAAAAAAGGGCATTTTTGCCCATTTGGCGAGACTCATTTTTGGGCCTCACTAAAAGGGCCCTAGGCAGGCACTGCGCTGGACCGTGGGCGCCCACCCAGGAAGAGCCACGGGCAACCAATCAGGCACCCAAGGCCACCATCGCACACTGCGCCAAATAGTCGCAATGCAGGCCGATGAGGCCTCCCAGTCACACCCCGGTGGCTCAGTTAAGCAGCTGGGCGGCCGACTTTTCGATCATAGAATAGTAGTGTTGTTTCTATGAAGTTCAAACTCCAATTTGATTATCGAGTTGCTATTTCCAAGATTTTCCAGATGGTTAGGATATTCAATTTGTTCGGCACAATGCGGGCCGATGAGACCTACCAACCACCCCGGTGGCTCGATTAAGTAGCTGGGCAGCCAACTTTTTTATCAGAGAATAGTAGTATTGTTTCTATGAAGATCAAACTCAATTTTATTGCCGAGTTGCTATTTCCAAGATTTTCCAGATGGTTAGGATATTCACTTTGTTGTGAGTTTGAGAAGTTCAGTTGCGGTTAAGTTTGGATGGTAGAATACTAATTCAAATTGGAAATTAGTCACGATCCAATTTGGATTGGAAGATCCTATAAAATGTTCACATGAAATCCACCTTGGATTCGGAAGAATGTTGGAATGGGATTCCTCAAAAGGATAATGGTGAAATATATACCCTTGATCCATAACGAATGTCTAATGGCTGGATGACTGACTCTGTATATGTCCCATTACAATTAGAACATTAATAACTTTATCCTTTTTTACCCCTACAAAAATCTATAAATAGGTCATTTTTTAAGAATTCAGATTCAGATGCCTAGGCTAACAGCCGCTGTAGGAGGGGGGGGGGGCAGAGGGGAAGAGGGAAAAAGAAGGAAAGGTGAGGGGGGGTACCCTCTCTCCCTTGTATTGTTTTAATTTGCATAAAATGTAATATTAACGTCATCCATGTGCAATTGTATAAAAGGACTAATATTAATGTCATGGCCATGTGCATGTATTATTGTGTAAATATTAATGTCATGGCCATGTGCATGTATTATTGTGTAAATATTAATGTCATGGCCATGTGCATGTATTATTGTGTAAATGTGCCACATGTAATGCTTTCTTAAGAACCTTATCCTCTCCCAAAAATTAGGAGATGGCACTTTTTTCAAAAATAAAAAACAAAATCACAACTATAGTAAATCGCTCTCTATAAGGACCAAATCCTCTATCTAAAACAAAAGTACATTACTCTCTTCCAAAAAATAAAGAAGGATACTTCTTTTAAAGTAAATGAAGAAAAGTACAACTACAAGGAAAACTCTCTCCCTCTCTAAAGACCAAACTCTCTCTAAATAAAAGAACATAACTTTGTCTCACAAAAATATTTTTTTTCTCTAAAAAAATCAATAAGAGCACAAGTACAATAAAAATTCTCTTTCTCTAAAGAATATATTCTCTGCCTAAATAAAAGAACTGCACTTTATTTCTCACAAAAATAGGAATCGGTCCTTTTTATCTTTCTAAATAAATGAATAGAAGTGCAAAAGGGTTTTGCAGGCACCTAAGCATAAGCCCATTCACTTGGCTTGCTTGGACTGTCTAGGTGGCCAGGGAGCCAATTTTTTACAATTAAATAGGGTAGTGCATTTCATGACGAAGCATAGAGATCTCAATTGAAGAGAAAAAGAGGTATCACGTGCAGAAGCTTTTGGTTAGCTTCTGGTTGAGGTCATAGCGAGGGGTCAATACTTCCAAGAGGGTTCTAGGTTTGTTAGATGGAAAATGAGAGAAAGAGAAGGTGTATGTGAGGGCCTTTACTAAGTGTTTCTTGTTCTGTGTGTTTCTTGTTCTTCCATACTCTTTTTTGGGAGATCCAAGTAGAGAGAGGAAGAGACTCGGCAGCCACAGCTCCGGCTCTCGCCCAAAACAAAGAGGAAAAAGCGAAACAGCGCTTTATAAGGTGCACTATCAGGGGGAGATAATATAGGGTCCACAAAGTCCTCCAAGATTATTTTAGGAAAAATTCAGGTACACAATCTTTGCTGATGTTTCTGTGCATATATTTGAGAAAATGGCAGCAAGGGTTTCCTAGGCCAGACCTTGTTTATTCCCCCCCCCCCCCAAAAAAACCATCAGTTTTTGAGTCTCCATATTTTGTGAAAGTTTCAGATATGGCATGTGTGTAATACGGGATATACATAATATTAAAATTAAAGTCCTACAAGATTGATGAAAACTTTTTATAGTTGCACCTTGTATCACCCTATCATCACCAATAACAGAGATTATCCATGGATCGAGGCAAAGGAATATGGATTAATTAGGACATCAGTGGATCATGGATCATTCTCTTTTCATCCATAGCAGCACCAAAGGTAGTGTAATTATCCTCCGGTATGTCAATGACATCAACATTACAAGAAGATCTCTAGATCTACTCCAGATGAAAGATTTGGCACAACAATATACTTCTGGGGAAAGAAGAAGACCACACTCAGGATGAACTCCAACTATCTCAACATAAATAAGTGCTTGTTTTATTTGAGCACACTAGTATGTTGCATTTCAACACATTAGCCACCCTAGCAGCCCTCGACAAAAGATTGAGAGTGAATCCAGGAAAATGACTTGAGAAAACAGAAAATCAAAAAGGCATGGTACAAGTACTTCAGTATCCCACTGCCTGTCCTGACATATAGCCTTCACATTAAATCAGGTAGAAGTTTATGCACGCACCAAAGCCCACATGGAAGCAATAAAGTGGTAGAAGTTGTTACACCCACCAATGCCCACATGGAAGCAATAAAGTGCACTATCCTACATGTGAAAGGAGCTATTAATCACGGAATTATATGCTTGAAAATCAAATCAATTGAGCAAGAGATCTTAATTCACATGTGTCAATCATAGAATATTGTGTTTATTTAGAAAGAAATTTGATATCTTAGAGGAGAAAGAAGCAAAATATCGTGGCAAGATCAAGTAAGGAGGCCAGCATAGAGCATATACGAGCATCGGGGTAGAGATTTCTTGGATAAGAAACCTGGTAGTATCTCACAGCCGTAGAGTACAGAGGTACACTATCTATTATGATAATCAGAGTGCACTCACCATTGCAGCTAATCCTATTTTTCAGGATCGTACTAAGTACTAAGCACATAGATATTGATTACCATTTTGTCTACAAGAATATATAAATAGATGCATTTCAAAGGGATGATACAGGAACCGAAAACCAGAGAGCGGGTATTTTCACCAAAGGGATAACCAATGAACAGCATCTCTTAAAAGATAAATCATATCTGTTCAAGCACGACGTACAATTTGAGGGATTCGAATATGTATTAGAATGGGTAGGGTATGCATAAGAGGAATAATTGTCATTTGTTTGTTATTTTACCAAACAATATAAGGCCAATTCCTGAGCGGCTACCGTCTTAACTGTTTTTTTCTTGTATTGAATGTCTGTTTTTTTTTTTTGGCAAGGTTACATAGGAATGGATCTTGAGACATAGCGCTATGAAAACCCGAGCGGCTACCGTCTTAACTGAAGCCCAATTCCTTATAAGGCCCCTGAATGTCGAGGCCATTTATGTAATTCTACATACCTTAACATATGACCCTTGCAGTATTTAAAATTATAATGAAGATGTCGCCCCATACAGATTGGAATTCAGGAATCTCTCATAAGCTCTCCTCTTGTGTCTCCCATTGCAACTTGTTTTAGTTGACAAATGACAAGATATTAAACTTACCGGGGATTCAAAGTTGAGCAGGTGATCAAGATGTGAGCAGAAAAATGTGGAAGCAATGGTCAATGACATTTTCTCCCCTCCCCCTTTTAAGAGACAGAGGGGTGTAAAAATAGCAATAGATTTCTTGCACTGACAAAAACAACCTAGTATTCTAGAGAGACAAAGAGACGGGTAGTTTTGTTTTTCTATTCTTTGTGAAAAAAAAAACAGTTAACTATTCATAGAATGAATTTATGGCTTCACTGCGATACAAGCAAGGGCTTCCCAGCTGGTTTCAGGACCATTATATGCGATTCTAATCCTCACCACAGTTTTGGAAGATGGGTAATACAGCCCAATTTTCCTCTTACACGCCCAAATAGCTCAGGAGATGTCTTTTCCCAAAATATAAAAAATATAAATTCCATTCTCTAAAAAAAATCGCTTGAGATAGTTTCTCTTAAAGAACCCTTTTTATTATTTGGCTCAAAGCCATTCTAAACTAGGCAGAGCCACCAGTAAACTAGACTAGAGAATTATGAATTTTTAATCAAATGTAGAAAAATCCAAGAAGGAAATATTAACTGCCTACTCGAATTCAAGATTAAGAGGAAATAGTCTACCAGTTCACATCACTCTCACGCATCAATCCCAACTGCTCACTAACATACACAAGTAATTGGACAATTGCCACACCAACTCTCCCCTAGTCAAGCATGCATAAAGTGCAAGGAGAGATTATGGCAAAACATGTGCAAAAATAAGGAGAAACCTGAAGAAGAGAATTATCATCCACTGGGTATGCAAACTTTCAAAATCCAAGAAAAGGGCTTCATCCAAGAGCAACAAAACGAAAGCAAAATATTTCATCGAAGTTACCTCCAACTTCAGGGTGGCAAAATCCGCAGGATGGGCTTGTAAGAATTTTGATAAAACTGATCGATCAGCATTTCTTGAATGATTATTTGCATCTCCGTCTCCAAACCAGTCTGATTGGTCAGGGCAAAAAGAAGTTCCAACGCATTGAAGAAGGGACTTTATTTGCTGCAAAACATGAATATATGAGAACCCAAGAAGCAAAATGCTCTTATTTCCAAAGGCACAAAATGAATCACACAGATTGATACAATCTAGCAACCTGCTGTTCATCTGATCTATTTTCTGCACATATATCACGCAGGCTGGGTCCCAAGTCAATACCAGCTGCAATTAAAGAAAAAAGTCTGCAATGTTACAACATGATGGCCATTTGTCATCAAAATTGCTGAATAGGAGGAATTTAGCCAATCCCAGTTTTTCAAATACTTCCAGACACAAAACTTCACAAAAGAAACAAAACTTCCCCATAAGACTTCATTCAGCCAACCAACCAAAATAAATCCTCATTTTTCAATAAATTATTGCAATACAGAAATATTGAAGACTATTCTCCTGTCATGCAAGAACATAAAGTTATGACAAGTGCACGTTTTATGGTAGGGCATACCCTTCAATTTCATCACTTTAAAGTGTAAATAGCACAATGTTGGCACAAGACCATGGAAAACATCTATAGGCCATCAACTCAAATTAATATGAACTACTCTGAGCATCACCCATCCAAAATCTTTTGATATCTCTAGGATTGATATGATTCAATAAACAAAAACTGAGGAACTTATAGGTAGTCTGACAAGAAAACAGGAAAGCTTCTAACAGAGAAGCTCCAGTTAAACTTATGGGGGGAATTCAAATGAAGGTGCCAAAAAGGGTGCAGGGAAAATGCAGATAATATTTGCATATATTTTCATGCATGTACCAGCAAGTTTCAATTGTATGAAATATATATAGCGTGCCCAATATCCTCTATGATCACAAACTAACATATTGTGAAGAAAGAAGTTCAAACTCCCTACATATATCTTGCATTACAATGCATATCTCTAATATGTAGAAAGTTGCAGAGCAGTGAAAGCACTACTTATCAAATAAAGGTCGTGCCCATGTAAGTAATGGTTCACCAAATATGTCAAGCCATATCACATTCACACACACACACACACACAAGTACCTACGCGTACATACAAACCCCTTCCCCACCTTCAAAACCATGGTAACGTGCACGCACATTCAAACGGACTTACAGAAACATCCATCTGAGAAAAATCCCAAAGCCAAAACAGAAAGTTCATCGACAAACTGTAGCATACCATGAAACATGGAAGACATGTACACTCAAGACTTCTCGATAAAAGGATCCCATTTTAATGTTGTCCATAGTAACATTGTCAATAATGGGCATGAGCCCTCAAGTATTCCTTCAAAGGTCTCGTATATACAAATGGACTGCAGATTGAAAGACATACTACGGAAAAATGTTTTTTTTTTTTAAGAAATGTTAACTAATATAAAAAAATGTTCCAGATAAGGAATGATAAATCAAACTCTTAAGCCTACAAATTCGAAATTTAAAAGAACAATGGACTTCTAAAGTTTGCAGTTATTTATATTTACAATTAGATAAGAGAACAACGCTTTCAAATTATTGCTAAGGATCCACCCATAGAAGTAAAGATGGAGATTGCAAGATACAGAATAGTTGGCATGCCTACACCTCAGAAACAATTTACCAATATGAATTTCATACTGGCCATGTACTGTGGGATGCTAATGAAGATGCTGAAGCATTAAGCAAATAGATTAATTGAGACTAATTTAGTAAGTCACCAAGATGCTGCCTCGACATCTCATCGACACCATCATTGCGATGGCAACACACTCCATTTATCTAAAGAATTTCTTTTTGAGGAAATTATTATTACTGACAAAAAAAAAGAAACATTTAAATAATAACAATATAGATGTCTAGCATTCAATAATAATTACAATCAGGTCACACTAAAGATGGCATAAACAACGAAGGTACAGACTTTTACCTCCATCTAAAGGAGGTGGTGGAAAATCTTTCAGAACCTTCTCCATATGTTTTGCGCTGTCACGACTGACAATACGAGCCACAAGTCCTTCCAGGATTTCCCCTTGTACTTTCACATGATCCTTTGAACCTGAAATTGTATGCAAGATCCCAAGATGTGAAGTTGAACATCCATAATAGTTAATCAGGTCAATCAAGTGCAAGCACCACTTAGATTCTTAAGATCAGGTTTGTTGAAACAGTTATGTTCACGTCATGTGCAGGACCTAGATAAACAACACTATCAAGACATTATGACATAACAATGTAAAAACATGAAAAAGATTGTAGATATTTAATAGCTAAGAAGATTAACTCTGAACAACATAAAAAGCAAACAGATCGCTTAAAAGAGCCGAAACAGATGATATCATTTTTCATAAACATCCAAGATTATATAGCAGAGGCTAATATTTCCTTATTATGTTCCTTTCAGACTAAGAACATCAATCAGTGATATGAAGAACAAGGAAGAAATCTGCAGGTCCAGTAATGATCCGCTAGCAAAGACACAGTTAGGAAAATGAAAGAACGCCAAAAGTGAAAAAAGGTGAAGTAGGCTTCAGCAATATTCACTGGCAATCGGCAGTCTGAACAAGGCAGTATTTGTCAAAAGAGTATTAACTCACAGAAGAAGAAATTTCAACATCTGAACTTTAAAATATTGTCAAGCAAGTTATACAAGAACTATAATTCCCTGGCAAAAAGAGTCGTGGGGATTGGATCCCACAGATCAAGTTGAATTACTTCATTATTGTTAAAAGTTGTTATCTAAGTCCTAGAACCTAAGTGTCCCAAGTTTATTTGTAGTTTTACCCATAACATAAATTTCAACAATATATAAGATTGAGAGATGTATGAGGGCTTTGGAGACCTAATGGAACTCTCTCCTCTCTAGCCGTTCATCTCTCTCTCCCTTCTCTCTATTCTTTTCTCTTTTCTCTCTCTGGATTTGCTGACACAAAGCAAACACCTTAATCTTTGTCTCCACCATGGTCTTCATTCTTCCTCTCTCTTTTTTGCCCTAGTTTTTTCTTTACATTTTTTTTTTTAATCTTTAAAACCCAGGACCGTTCGATCTAGGACTGTTCAATCTAAACCTTTGGGCTCTTTCCTGAGGTTTTATGGGTAGAAGGTCATGTGGATCTGCAAGTGGTGTAGCAATGCTGCTTTGCGTGTGATTTCACTTTCGAGATCAAGATTCTACAGAGCGATCGTGACATAATTTCCAGATGATGCCAATCTACCCAATAATGGCAGAACAATGATGCTCGTGTTCAATGCGGTGTTACCCTAATTCGTTCATGTGTGAGAGCGACCAAATCTTAATGATGTTTCTCTCCTTTTAAGTGGTTCCTAAAATTGTACTAGGCTTTGTGAGTGACTGAAATTCGACGATCCTAACTGTCCTTTCATTTTTATCTTATATGCTTATGGATAATGAAATTAAACCTGGAATTCTTAGTCTCCCTAAAACTGTGGGGATAGAAATCACCTCTGTAAAATTAAACGAGTCAAATTATGTTGTATGGGCTCAATTTGTCAAAGTTTCCCTTAGTGCAAGGGGAAATTGAAATACTTGACTGAAGACAAGCCTTGTAAGTATGATATTAAATATAAAAAGTGGTTGAGGGAGAATTACATAATCATGACCTAGTTATGGAATATAGTATGGAACCCCAAATAAGTGCCAACACTTCAAAAGAAACACATTCATTAGATAAAAGTATCTCTCAAGTATATGAGTGTTTGAGAAGGTGTTCCAATTGCAATAGGGCAGTAATAGTGTGAGTGAGTAAGTATGATAGTACCCTCAAGGGTATGTTAGAAGAATATATAACCTACATCTGGTAATGTAGAACTACAGAAGAGGTAGGGAAAAGAATTTAGGGGGTTGCCAAATTTTTATCTGACCTTATCCTGAGCACTATTATGTACATATACAAATCTTGGCCAGCAGTGGACCCTCATCACTCACTAATCGTTACACGAGCATTCAACATGTCAATATAGCTGCTCCTCAAAAGTATTAGTGATGGATCGGCATTGAATACAGTTGTAGAGAAAGGTGATGGGAGCAGAGGTTGGGAAAGTGGTCGTGACAAGAGGCCGTGGTAGAGGTGATGGTTGCAAGGGTGTCGAGGAACTGCAAGTGTATGCATTGTGGGCATATAAAAATACAGTTGATAAGTGTTGGGAAAAGGTTGGTAAGCCTACTTGGGCAAAACAAGTTCCTAGCACATCTGAGAGTGATGATATTTATCTGAATGGACCCAATGATCGCCAACAACAATCGACTTCTGCCGGTGGCTCTATTGTGCTTTCCAAAGAAGAATATAAAAGACTTATTAAACAAGTACAGCAGTCCATTGTTCCCTCTTCCTCCCTACTGCCACCCTCGCCAATTCAGGTATTTATATGCTTCACACCTCTCAGAAACCTGCTCCCTGGGTTTTCGACTCAGGGGCCTCTGATCACATGACTGGTGAGTCCTGTGTTTTTGGCTCTCTAAATAAGTGTATTCTTATTTTCTTTCATACCCTGGATGATGGATTGTGGCCCAATGTGCCAAGATAGGGTACAGCTATGCCTACTTTTTTCCTTTCTCTGTCATTTGTAACATGCATTCCAAAGATCGCTTCCCGTCTATTATCTGTGAGCAAATTAACCAAATCTATCTAAATCGCTCTATAACCTTTGTCCTTCTTATTATATCTCTCAGGATCTAAAACCAACGAGAGCAATTGGTGGCAGGTATTAGTCAAGCGGTCTATACTACATGGATCACAACCTGATTATTGTTGCTCTTCATTCTATTGATTCTCCATTCTTATGGCATTGTCGGCAGCGTCATCCTTCTCTCAATAACTTAAAAGTCGTTAGGCCCTTCTTTGGAGCATGTATCTGCTTAGAGTGTAAAGCCTGTCAAATAGGAAAGCATCATTGGGTGTCATTTCGTCCTAGAGTTGACAAGCAAAGACTTGTTCTATTTGCAGTGATTCATTCTAATAAATGGGGTCCAACTAGAGTACAAACTTTGTCAGCTCATAAGTACTTCAACTTTTGTGGATGATTGTTCACAATTGACATGGTTATAATAAAAGAGTAGATCTGCAATTTTCTCCATTTTAAAATTGTTTCACAAGGCAATCCAAATTCAATTCAATAAGAATGCGTGTATTTTATGTTATGATAATGCTAAAGAGTATCCTTGTAGAGAATTTTATAATTTTGCTCAAAAATGAAATTTTACACGAAGTTTCTTGTGCATATACTCCTCAACAAAATGGGGTTGCTGAAAGGACAAATCAACACTCACTAGAAGTAACCCTTTCTCTACTCATTATTATACATGTTCCAAACGTTTGTTATGAACATGCGTTGCTAACCTCATTTTGTTTTTCTTATTTTTCTTTTTTTCCTTTTTTTTTTTGTTGTTTTTTTTATTGATAACTGTTAATGTTTGTATTGAGAAAGAGAGATAGATACAAGAGACAAGGCAAACCAGGAGTGCCTAAACGGTAGGGCTCCTGGTAAAAAATGGGTCAAAAGACCGTAAACAAAATGGGGTTATAAGAAGTCCCCTTACACAGTAAAGTGTTAGTATACAAAAAAGATACAAAGGGGGCGAGGAAGAGAATACAAAAAAAGCACAGTCCCTTAGAGCTCCGCAAAAAACCCATAACACCACTAGTCTTCAACACCGGCTCTGGCTCCATCCTTAGCTAGTAGATCTGCGAACTCGTTCGACATCCTTGAGGTATGCATGCATAAGATTGGCGAATCCCCGCAGAGGTAGTTGATTTCATCATAAATGGGTAAGAGGTACCAAGGGGGAAGAGTTGTCTTAGAAGCCCAAGAAATAATGTTTTTGGCATCAACCTCGACAGTGAGAAACTGTCCCCAGGACCGATCAAAGCTTTGAATACCTCTAAGGGGAGCCATAGATTCAGCGAACTGCGAGTCATGGACCCCAATGTATTCAGATAAAGAGAAGAGGACATTTTGAAGGTGGTCTCTAACGACCTCTGCATGCCCCAGATTGCCGAGAGAGCAGCCATCAAAATTAAGTTTGATAGTTCCTTGGGAAGGAGGCATCCAAGCAACAATAACTATGTTTTTCTTTGGGTTATGGATTAAAATATGCTCCCAATTCCGGCAAAAAGAGTCCCTAGGAATGCCTTTGAACCAGGGGTGATGAGCCTCCCAAAAAGTTACCAAGGAGGTAACTTTCAAGAATAACCAAGAGGCGGGGTGGACTCTCCCCTAAAAATACGGCCATTTCTTTCAATCCAAATGGTCCATATTGTTGCTGCCACAGTAGCTTTCCAAATGATTCTACCAGCTTTCGGGCAATGCTCAGCCAAATTTAACGCCAAAAGATCTTTTACAGTCGGGAGTAAGACCCAATGCACCCGAAAGAGTTGAAGGAGGAGACTCCAAATCTCATGGGCCACGTTACAGTGGAGGAAGAGGTGGTTATTGGATTCCTCATGGTTCAAACACAAGGCACACCTATTAGGAATAGGGATACCTTTCCTTTGAAGTTGATCCACTGCGAGTGCCCTGTTAGATCCAGCTATCCAGTTAAAGGTTTGTACTTTTGGGGGAGCAATGGTCTTCCAAACTAGTGCGAGAGTCGAAGGAGGATTGAGGGGGAAGGTAGGGGGTTGGATGAGACTTTTGTAGAAGGAAGCAACGTTGAATTCTCCCGAGGGGGCAAGGGACCACACCAGCTTGTCCCTCGTCGGGATCGGGACGAAGGTGTTGAAGAGCAGGGACGAGAGAGAGAGAAATTGAAGGGATTCATCTTCGGAAAGGTTCCTTCTAAAAGATAGGTTCCAACGTCTCCTACCTCCTTCAATACTGAACTCGTCCTCAACGGTAGCTTCTCTATTCCTCGCATCGGAGAACAGTAAGGGATGGGAATCCTTGAAAGGGGCATCACCTAGCCATAAATCAATCCAAAACCTCACTCTATTTCCCTCTCTAGGGCATAGTCTTAAGTGTTTCCTGAAAGAAGAAAAGGAAGCCGTAATAGACCTCAAAGGGAAGCCGTAATAAACCTCCACACCCCTGAAGCGTTGGACC